CAGTCTGATATTTTATAATCTTTATATACCTCAGGATCCTGAAAACATTCTCCTATATTATCTTCTAAAATCTGCAGTTCTGCCTTTCACATCTGTATATTCAGTTCTTTGGAAATGATTTGGTATATGATGTCAGCAAAGTCAACTTTCTGTTTTTATTATTATTTGGAAACCCAACTACCCCAGAATCATTTATTTAAACAAACCTTTTTCCCACTTGCTACAAATTAAGTGTCCCCCTTTTGTCATAAATCAAGTCTCTACACATGCCTGGATCTTTTAATGACCTTCCTGAATGGTTCCATTGGTCTATCTGTCTATCCGTTTGGCAATATTATACTGTCTTAATTACTCTAGCTTTATTATAAGTCTCTGTACACTGTAGTTAATAAACCCTACTATTTTATTGTACTATGTCAATAATGTCTTATCTATTCTCGGCCCCTTGCTTTTCTGTATAAACGTTAGAACAAGTTTTGGTCAAATTCTGTGCCCTCCAAAAATAGTAGTTGGGATTTATATGAGGATTACATTGAATTTATAGATGTAGAGAACTATTAGAGAAGAACTGACATATTGATAATAATTGAGTTCAATGATGAATAAGGTATATCTTGCTATCTTTTACATTTTCCTGCAAAACGTTCTTATATACTTGTGTTACGTTTATTCCGAAGTATTAGTTATTCTTTGGTGATATTGAGCAATGATATTGTATCTAAAAAGTCATAATCTGTTTTCATATAGAAAAATGAAACTGATTTTATCTCAACTTTGATTTCATCAAAATTATTAAATTTACTTAGTGATTCATCTCTAGATTTATTTAGATTTTATTAACACAATCATATCCACTAGTAATGAGTTTTAGTTCTTTCTCTCAAATCTAATGCCTTTTACTTCTTTGGCTTGCTTCCTTGAACCAGCTAGGACCTCCAGCACAATGCTAAATACAAGTGGTAGTGAGAGACAATCTGATTTTGTTTCTCACCTTCAAAAGAAAGCCTTCAGCATTTCACCATGAAGTATATGTTTGTTATAGGATTTTTGCATTCTTTATTAGCTTAAGGAATTTCCCTTTTGCATCTAGCTTGTAAGCTTTTTTTTAAGGCACAAATGAAAATTGAATTCTATCAAATGACTTATCTGTACATTTTTAAATTATCTTTTATTCTACTAAAATTACATCGATCACTTTTTAATGTTACTGTACCCTCAAAGTGATGCGATAAACAAAGTTGGTCGTGATACATTATCCTACTTAAAGCCTCCAGGTTCATTTTGCTAATATTTTATTTAAGATTTTTGCATCTATGTCCAGGAGTGATATTGAACTGTCATTATCATTTGTCATAATGTCCTGGTCAGGTTTTCATATCAAAGGTATGGTGGTCCCGTGTAACAAGCTGGACAACGTCCCCTCCTTTTCTCTCTTCTCTGGGTGGGTTTAATAGAATTAGCTGGCACAGACCTCTGGAGTGGTCTTTGTAGAAGAGCTTTTAGTTAATGATTCCGTTTCTTCAATAGTGAAGACTATTTAGGACTTTTTGTATCTTTTTGTGTCATTTTTGGTAAATGTGTTTTCACAGGGATTTGTCAATTTAATAATCTAAATTACCAATTTTATCAGCATGAAATTGTTCACATTTTCTTATAAAGTTTTCTTACAAAATTACCAGATGGATTTTTCTGGTCATATTTTGTTATCTTTAATGGCATGTGATGAGAAACAATACTCTGTGTGATTTCAATCTTCTGAAAATTCTTGAAATATGTTCTATTACTCCACTATATAGTTGATTTTTATTAAAAAAGAAATCCTGGTGTGCTTGTTGTATTATATTCTGAGGCCACTGAATTCATTGTTAATATATGACAGTTGTCTGTTAATCATATTGTTAAAATGTTCTTTCTTTAATTTTTTGAGGAATATATATTAAAATCTCCCTCTACGGTCGTAGATTTGTCCATTTTTCCTAATATTCTGTCGATTTTTGCTTTGCAGAACATTGTTACTTGTAGGAATTGACGGTGTTTATCAAGACCCCGATCTCTGACAGGGGCTGAACCCCTGCTGCTTTTCCTTAAGCCGGTGAGTTTGTTAGAAGCAGTACTCAGTACTAACAAGTACTCACTAACAAGTCCCTGGCTTTAACGCTCTGATGTTGTCAAGCACATGTCTGGCAATTTGTCCAGCTTTCCTTGTTGTCATCAGAAGGAGGATTTGTCCAAATACCTAGTGCTTTATTACCAAAGGCGGAAGTCCTAACTCCACGATTTAGAAAATATTTTTAGCCATGGAAATGAGCTTATATGGAAGCTCAGTCTATGAAAGACAGTAACTCAGAGATGCGGAGACTGAAAACTGTTTGGCGATCCCCAAACTTTCCAAATGAGTCTAGTTACAGTGAAAACTGAGCTGGTCCCAAGAACTCTAAAATCCTGGAGACACGGCTATCGATACAGATACAGGTACAGTTACGACCATCTGGGTGCAAACATCAGTTATGTTTGCTTCCTTACGAGCACACCACCTCTGAGAAATGGCTTCTTAGCTGGTGTGCCTATTAAATTATTATTTCCCTGAGACTGCATGGTTGAAGGCCACTCTGCTTCATGTAATCAGTGCCACATACACTTTAAAGCCTCTTAAGAAACAACCTGCAGATCTGGGCTCAAGGTAAACATGGTCCATGAACCTGACTGATATTAGTTCTAGTTTCTTGTCTCTTAATTTTACAGCTAAATTAGCCAAATCTATAAGTCCTCATAAAATATTTAGGTACACCTCGTACATTATTTATATTAGGGATATTTACATTTATTTATTAATATATTTATACTTCATTAAGTATAATTCACAAATGAAGTGTATCAATCTATTGACAAATATCAAATTAATTGATTCCTAGATATAAAGTAAAATGCTATAGGTTTCTAAATCTATAAGGGAAAAATAGGGCCACTTTTTCCATGTCTTTAATGTGACACTGACTTGGGTTTTAACAGCTATGTAGTAGGAGAACATGTTTATTTCTCTCTCCTCCTTGTGTTTCCAAATAAAATTTCCACCAGTATAAACTTTCTGGCCTCTGAGTTATCGGATCTGCAGGTTTAAAAGAAAGAACCAGGCATGCTTCACTCCGCCCCTTTCTCTTTTTGGATCAGCCTATCTGCAGAAAGAATGCATTCTTACTGCTCTCCTGCCAACACTAACAGAACTGGACTTTACAGGATAATGCTAGTGGAAGGTTTGAGCTGATCTGGCTCTGTCTTTACCTGGATGGATATGTTTAATTCTGGAATTCAATGCTGGAAAACTGGTTTGACTCATACCTGCACCCTGCCCCTCAATAGCCGTTCTCAGTATATTTGAAGCTATATTTTGATGATCATCTGACTGACTCCTCCATTTCTCTCTTAAATGGTTCTGAACCTGAGTAGGAATGAAGGATGTGTTTACTGGGCCTCCCTTCCCCTAAAATGCTTTTAATCACTATACGGGGGTCATACATTTATTAGAAGTCCAGAACTCCAGATTCCAAGATGAGGAATATTTCTTTTGACCACCAGAAGGGGAAGAAAAGAAAAAGGACTGAAGCAACTGTAAGGTATAATTTCTTCTTCCAGAAGAAGACTCATCCTATTTTGCTCACTCACAAAAGTTACAAGATCCCTCAACAGAAAATGCATTATGAAATTTGAAATTGTGAGAGTGATATTAAACAGTGTGAAACCATCCTTCCTAGACTGGAATTTAAAGTTTTCCTGACCATGGCCCCGGAGTATCATTCCTTAACTAGAAGCTCTTCATTTTTATGTTGTTATGTCTTAAAGATGGACATCTTTCTTTAAACCACATGGGAATATTAATGAAGGTAATATAAGCCTTATTCAATAATTTACTTCAGTCAAACAATTACACAGTAGAATGTAGCTTCGGTATTTACATATTTTTAATATTAATGACTAACTTTACTGCTACCATTTCTGTGATCAGTCAGCTTCTGTTTGCAGGGGGAAGAGTTAAAATAGGTTAAAAGTACTGCAACAGTATAATGACAGAATACCAGACACACGCAGAATAAAAATACACCTCAGTACTTTTGGTGAAAAGTACTCCAAGCCATTCTGCTGTTGCTGGTAAGTTTTGTAGAAAGTTAGCTACATTATGTTTCCTGTGATCTTTTTAATAAACAGATCAAGTTTTAGATGTTTCAAAAACAAAACCCAAGCTGTGGTAGCTCCATTTTCCTCACCATCTATTCAACTGTTAGCACAGCCTGTTATCTCTGAACTGTCACTTAGTTTTTCAGAGTCATCATTTACTCTCTTCCGTCCTGACAGCACTACAACCCACACACACTAGAAGTCACACACTCACCTTTAACTCTAAAGGGAATCACGTCTGTCTTGAGAAGTACTAAAATGTACTTCTTGTTTACTCTTGTGTATTTTTGCAACTTAAAAACAGTATTTTCCTACTTTTGGAAAGCTACCTATTTGAACTGGACAGTATTTATTTAAAAATCCAATTTTCAAGTGGAACTTAACAAAATTCACCTCCCACAGGTTTGTCTGGTGATGAAGGGACTAGGGGAGGCACACTGGACAACAAAAATTCAACTGAAGGCATCTTCTCAACTATATTGGGATAAAGGATAAATCTTGAAACATCCCTATCAGTGGGGGGGGACAGTTAAATTTATTACCATTTTGGAGGTTCTTACTTGGCTTTTGAAAGCAAAAGTATATAAGCCAAATAATTTCATTTCCATGTAGGTTATTTCTGTCACCTTCATGAACTGCTGTCCTCGTTCAGTCCTTTAAAGGCAAAGATTATGCAAATTAAAAGTATTTTGTAGATTACAGCATGTATGAAGTTTCAGTCTTTCACTTTCTCTCCGGCCATATAAACAAAAAGAGACTTTGAATTGCAAGCTGCATTGCGGCGCTACTTTATATAAATCTCACAGGGTCTAGGGAATGTAAACAAGTACCTGGAATTACCCCAATCGGTACCAATGCCTGAGAGCGATCCTCTTGTGTCAGTTGCATATTTGTAAACCACTAGCAGGCACTGTTTACAGAGCTCCACCAGGCGCTGGCAGCACTGGAGCTGCAAAGGAGTCACCACCTCCGGGCTTTTACTGAAAATAGTCTCCCAGGAGGATCTGTTGGCATGGAAACAGACATGACCTCATGTGGCTGTTAAAATGGCAACCAGCTATATCACTTACCTGGCAACAGACCAATAAAGAAAAGGAGACATGGCCTCACATGCTGGAAGTGACTACAGATGGTTGAAAGGTAGAAAGTAAATACAAATTTGGAAAATACTCTTTATGTTAAAAAAAAACAAACACACACAACATAGGCTTCATATCTTTAAAGACTTTACTACTGCTCACTCTGGATAGCTAACAGAATGGTCTCCCAACACCTCCTAAAAACTGAGTTACTCTGTATTCAAGTAATTGTAAAATACTGAGCTAATTTCTGAAAAGTTAGGTCTTCTAAGAATTTAGGTTTTCTAGGAAGCTATATTTACTTTTACATTAATAATGATCCTGGAAATGAATTAAAGAGTTGGTGCAACTTAATTTTTGATCTCCCTGAACTAGGAGAATTTAGGTTAAATCTTTGATTATGATCATTTCTTTTAAAACACTTTCATATGTAACTATGTCCTAGAGCACAGGGTTGATACTGTGGAAGGAATGTGATCTCAGCAAATACTGCCTGACTGCGGCCCCAAAGACAGTGTCCCACCTCCTTCAATGCACCCAGCTTACTGCACAGCAGGCAGCAGTGCACACTTTCCTGGTACATTTCAGTGTGTGTGTGTGTACATACATACGTATTTACAGTTCCTAAGTTTACTGTCATGGCCCAGATCAGGAAACACCTTACCACCCCCCCACCACCACCAAAAGACAGAGAGAAAGAGAGAGAAAAGAGAGAGAGAGAGACATTTCCCTACTGTAAACAAAACTTTTCAAGTCTCAAGAGGAAAGTTTGGTTTGAGACGGGGTAATAGTTCAAGTCTCATTTTACATAAACCAATTCGTTTAACCTTCAGAGAGAGAAGAGTAGATTTTCAGAAAGAAAAATATATTAAGGAAAATATTTTTCTGAAGAATTGTACTTCCCAAAGGGAAAGTCAAAGGCTTCATTTTCAATCTTCTGTGGATATTTGATATTTTTGGAATTTTTTTTAAATGCTTTAGAAACTCAGAAAGGTTGTTTTTTAGTAGAAAGGCTACCAGTTATTTTTTCAGGGGAAACATGGTCCCCAAAAGACAGCATGTCATCAGTGAATGACAGGTTTTCTTAAAGGGAATGAGTCAAATAAGTAGATTGAAAGGAGTAAATTTCCTTCCATGTTCTGAGATGTTTAGGACTAAATATAATACTGTTTCATTATTTTAAAAGGAGTAAAAGTTATTTTCATTTGAGAAACAGTAATATGTTAGTTAAATCAATGAACATATTTATTTTATTTTTTAAATAAAAATTTACTAAATATAAGAAAAACTAAATATATGTGTTTCTATATCTATATTTGCATGTGTGGGTGTGTGTGTATATATATATATCCAATTTATTTAATATGATCAAGAAAAATACTGGAGAACACCAATTAATAAAGGACAATGTTTATAATTAGCAAACCTTACATGCCTGAGTTCAGAGAAATGAAAATTTCATGTAAATGCAAATACACAAAGAAAAGCATCCTATGTTCTCACTGTTTGCTGAGCACTTCTCTTTTCTCTTCCCTGGTGTTCTAGGTATTTCTTCCTCCATCATCACCTTCTCCTATTAATTTGGATATATTTATCTTTTGATGCTTGGAGCCATTTGATAGACCCACTATTGAGTCATTCACATCATGGTAATTTTTCTTTTCCTAACTTGGAGCATCAAAGTAAAGAAAGAGCAAATAAAATGAAAGAAAGACATAGGCCCTTCTTCCATAACACTTCAATTTGATGTAACATTCTGAGTAATACGTGAGTTTTAAAATGAGCAGCTTTGATTTCTTATTCTCTCATTGCCCCTCCACTATTTAAAATAAACATATGAATCAAGGTCCTCTGCCTAATTTTGGTGTGTATGTTCACCACCACGGGCCAAAGACCACCCATGTTTACAGTGTCAGCACACCAGAACCACTCAAAAAGAAACAAGAATGTGGACAGGACTTGCTTCATTTGGTGCGAGGCTAATGGCACCCCCTCTGCACAAAGGAAACTTATCCTTCAAACCGAGTGTATCAGAACTGTGTCTGCCACCTCCTACCCACTGCCTAGCACAGCTGAGTAACTGTGAAATGTCTCGAGAACACTACAGTATCAATCTTCAACACTGACACACCATTTTTTAAGAAGGCGAAAGGATGGAGAAATGATTAAAAATACCAGAGCCTTTCTGAATCTAAATTCCAAGGAAACGGGAGGGCCAAAATCCATGAGTTCAAAAAGAAAAATTAAACGGTTAGAAGTTCCCTCTGGCACTCTCTAATCTCAGAAATACGAAAGGGAATTACTTTCAGTGACATTTCCTAATAATGTAACAATAAGATACACAATACTGAGTGCCTCTGGTAACAAAGGGGAATGACTAATAAAACCCAGAGACTTGAAAAGCCTCATATTATCCAGTAATCCAGTCATTTTCACCTCCTTTCTCGTCAGAATATCTAAGAAAGCAGCTCTCTGAAGAGTGAGACTGAGTCGCTTCTTTCTCCTGGGCTGGTAGTTCCGACGGATGACGGAGTGGCCCAGAGCCAAGCAGCAGAAAGGGAAGTGAAAACACACGTGGACTATCCTCACTGGGCATCAGCAACCGAAAGATTAATGAGCTGAGAAGTACCAACAATGACACGTCCAGCTGAACGTGAGATGAGGAAAGCAAGGTGCGCATCATTGGACGTCATCTGTCTGTTATGCACACGTTTTCAAGCAGGCATGTGATTCAGCCTGGAAGCGGACTGCTGCCTCGGAGCGCTCCCTACAATTTCTTCTCTCCCTACGACTCTGGAAGAAAGGCTTTTCTGTGACAAACCTCCAGAGGAAAACGTCTTTGGCTAAAGGGTCCAAACTAGATTCTTTTCTTTGGGGGTCTACATATCAGGATTCTGAGTGGACAGAGGGCTTTTCCAAACCATGCGTTCCTTCTCCGGTGCCACCCCTACCTGTTCCTCTTTACTTCCCTGGGCAACTTTCTCCTTCTTCCTCTTCCTGCAAGTCTCAGCTCCACTGTTACTTGCCTTGGTCACCTTTCCTTAGCTCTGTGACCTGAGTTTGAGGCCCACAGCACCTAGACTTTCCCTGTCTCAGTAAAGCATGGTGGATAATTTTATTCATGAAAATTCCAAGAGCTATTCCCCGGGAGAGAGCACGCTCAGAGGCGGGGCGTCGTCATGACTGACACCCCCAGGAGCGGCACGGGACAGGGCTCACGGAGCACGGGCTTCAGCAGCCCGCGAGGGCAGGCGAGAGGGGGATGAGGGTGCCTTCTACGCGAGGCACCAGGAAAGCCCCGGGCCAAGTCCAGGAAAGCCTGCCACAAACATCTACGATCCTCTTTGACGTTTTTGGAGGTGGACAGGGAACGGTTTATTCGTTTTGTTTTATGACTGGGATGTTGACAGCCAGAGGCAGGAATCAAGGTGAGTTATTTAGATAATACTTTTTTCCAAGATTTTTACACATCATTGTGAAAGGCAGCTGCATCTTTTATAAAAATCACTCCTTTAGAATCGAGCTAGGAGTGGATTTTTACCTAGATTATAGGCACTTAGATCAAAGGTTAAAGGGGACATACATTGACTGCATATAATTCAAAGAGTAAGTAGACGTATTCTGGGTCCAAAGTGCCAGTCAAACACACATAACGCTAAGTGACTTCATTAAATTGAGGAAGATGTCATTTGTAAAGCTGCCAAATAAAAGCTGGTGTTAAACTCATCTCTACCATCCACCAAGTGTTTAAACAAATAGATGGAAAATGGAGGTCAGGTTGGACCCAAAGCTATTCCCGCTCCTTCTGCCCAGGCTCAGCCGGCCGGGGATTTGGCTGTGGGGCTTGCAGTCAGGCAAGCTTGGCGACCCCTGGCAGTGCCACTTTGGGAGGAGTGAACAAAGCACAGAGTTAAAGGCTTGGGCTCCTGATGCAGACAACCTTGGTTTAAATTCAGGCTCACTTAGTTACTATGAGAACTTGGGCAAGTTGCATACTTTCTTTATGCTTTAATTTCCTCATCTATAGAATAAGAATAATAATACTTTACTCAAAATATTATAGTGGTAATTATAAGAATATTTACCATGTGAAACAGGATCAGGCACTTAGTAAGCTTTTCAATAAACATGATGTACTTTCATGATCATTACTAGATGTAACAGATGCCACCAGAGAAATCTGGGGGAAGTTGTGCACCAGGTACGGGAGAAAAAGGATCTCAGTCAAGTTAGAGTTAATTACCAAAACAGTTCAAGGAAGTAGAGCCCTAGAGGCAAAGAGGAACCACTTTATGGGCATTTTTAGGGTCTGGCACTGGAGATGATCTCACAGATGGACCCAAAGCCACCGGCATCAATTTCATTAGCAGACTATCTCTCTCCCTCCTATCGGTGGGAGTAGCTCAAATTCATACACAGCATTCCAACAGACAGATCAACAAACAGAAGAAAAAAAATTTCGATTTGCGAGAACTTCTAGAGACAGCCATCAACTCAGAGCCACAGAGCACAGTTCAAATGTTTCACTTAAGTCTCTGGAGTTTGTAGTCAAGATTATTCTTATATTTCATCACAACCCAGAGAACCTTATGAATTCTCCCTTTGGTGAACGCCAGCTGAGGAAGATTGTGGTGGTGAGAGTAAGTTTGCAAACAGTATAAATGATTCAGTACTGGGTGACTAGGATATTAAAATGGAGAACATTCAGGGATCATTTCGGACTAGAAGAGTCTGTTAAATTCTGAAAAAAAAAGGGTATAGTCTGGGTTTTTACAGAGGATTTAAACAATACAGAGGAGATGGAAGAAATGGGGTTGCAGAAGGCAGGGCAAACAGACACTCAGGGGCAGTAACAGTTCAGGGGAATAAAAGGACACATTTTTTAAGATATCTGAAAAGTAACAAATTCATTTTTCTGGAGCAGAGTTTAAGTAGGAGGGTAATGAGGGAGAGTACTGGAGAAATAAGACGGAGCCTGCATATTAGAGAGTCCTGTATCTCTAGACAAGATGTCTAGACTTTAATGATAAATGAGGGAATCACTACAGATTTTGGCAAAAGACTCTGACAGTTGGATGGATAACGGAAGCAAAACACTGGAGGCAAACATGCCTAGGAATCTATTAACTTCACTTAGATCTTCTAGCAAAAAGGGTCCCCTTATCTGAAATCCTGTAATGCCTTACCTGTGTCTCTTTTACAATCATTACTTTGTATGTATCTTATTTTGTCTATTAGAGACAACAGAGTCTATTGGCTGAGAGCATGAAGTCTGGGGCCAGGCTCCTTGAGTCCAAACCTCAGTTATACTGAGCCCTTAGCACCTACTCTGTGCTTCAGTTTCCTTACCTATAAAATGGAGATAGTCAGAGAACCCGCTTCAAAGTGCTGCCATCGGGACTAAATCATTCAAAGTACGTACAGTACTTAGAACGAAGCCTGGCACAGAGCAAGCGTTACAGCGTGAGCTATTATTTTTAAGTTTCCTGAAGGCAGGGTCTGTCTCAGATTCAACTTTGTGTCTCCAAAAGCACTTAACACAGTAGTAAATACTTGATAATTGTTAAGAGCAATGAAAAGCAATCTAGAGTAGTCACAGTGGGAATGTGGCAGAAAAATTAACAAGATTTAGCAAATGACTAAGTAAAGGCAGCTCAGGAGAAAAAAGACAGAGATGCTCCTGAGACTGGGAGAGTAAGAGAGGGGTGGGGGCAAGTCCGAAGGGAAGCCACTTCTGAATAGAAGGGAGAGATGGGGTGTTTGGTTCTAGGGATCCTGAAGCTAAAATGACAGTGGGTCACAACAGCTTTGACAGGACTGGCATTCTGGAGAAGGGCAGGAGTGGAGCCCTGATTTTGGAAGTCTGCTACACAACAGGCAAGAGCAGAAGAACGGAAAGGACCCTGGTTTGTAAGGGACATTTTTCGTTAATTAAGACTACGTTCTCTCCACTGAATTCAAATTAGTGAGGTGCTATTGTGTTCACATCCACCATCTCATCTACGTCAGCTTCCCTGCTGCAAATTATAGTTGGGTACGAACAGTTCCATGCAGTTACAAATCTGTATTTTAAGAGATTAAAGAAATTCAACCACTTCATTGGGCTACCTTTTTAACTAAGTAGTAAAGCATTAAAAAGGAAAATATTAAAAGATAACTTAGAACTTACCCTGAATCACAGAAACAGTTCCACAGTCCTTGGCCACGACTCCAGAGTAAGCGATTAAAAACCCGGTTGAAAATCCGATATAAACTTACTTCCTCGACATCAGGTACCTTCCAGATGCGTGGAAGAACTGTACGGATGCTTGTTTTGACTATGTCCAAAACCTAGAGGAAAAATCAAAGCATTTCAAAATCTGGGTATATATGTGTATGTCTGAAATTCAGAGATGAATGTGTATAATCCAAAGATGAACACACACACACATGCACACTCACAATTCACTAACTAAACAACAGCACAGAATAAAAAGTCCATACATAGATCCAGCGTTTATGAACTGGTACATGACATAGGTGGCAAGTCTAACCATTTGAGTAAGAAGAGATTACATTTAAAATTAAGTTAAATTTAACTTAATTCAGTAATGGTAGATTTTTAAATAGTAATGTTTATGAAAAATAGATGAAATTGAACCCTCACTGTGTTCAATTGAAAAAATCATCTCTAGAGGGATTAAGGTTTTAAGTTTAAAAAATAAACCATTAAATACCTTAGTGGAAAGTATTAGTGAATATCTTTTAGGCCTGAGTTAGAAAACGATTACATAAATAACAAAAAATATGGACCAAAAAATGATTAATAGATTTTGATTATATTAAAATTAAGAACTCTGGCCGTCAAAATATACCTCAAAGAAAATAAAAGATCATGTTAGAAACAGGGAAAATACATTCAAAACATATACATCTGACAAAAGATTAGAACAAAGAATACGTAATGAATGCTTGAACAACTGTTAATATATATATACCAACAAATTAATAGAAAAAAATGGACAAAAATACATGAGCAGGAATTTCATAAAAGAGGAAATAAATATGCCCAATAAACATAAAGAACAAAAATTGAGACCACAGTAAGACATTATTTTCTACCACTTAACTGATAAAAATTAAAAGTCAGACAACACCAAGAACTGAAGAATATGGCTCCACAGGGTCTCCCAGACACTGCTGGCAGGAGTGCAAATCGGTGCCGTTGTTCTGGAAAATAGCCTGGCCTTATCTCCTAAAGTTGAAAATTCATATACGCTGTGACCCTACCATTTTATTCCTAAGAGGCACATACTCATAAGTTAAAAACAAGAGCCACGTACAAGAATGTTCAAACAACTGTTCACAAATGTAAACACGTGGAAACAGCCTAACTCCCCATCAGTGGAAGAATGAATAATACACAGTGCTGTACTCATCCCCCTGGACTTTCACAGAGCAGGCAAAATGAACGAAATAAAAGGACGTACAACAACACAGAGCATCTGAGTTGTACAATGACGAGCTTAAAAACCATACCAGCAATTTTATACAGTGTGAAGCCCTTTAACAGAAGTAAAAACAACTACATTTTGAAAATACTCACAGGGAATACACATAGCTACAATAAGAATATACAAAGGAAGCAAGCAAGGCACTGGTGAATACTGAAATGAAGAAAACGGTGACCTGAGACGTGGAGAGCCAGGCGGAGGGAAGGGAGTCGTTTGATTACGCACTAGCTTACTGCCCAACATCCCCATTTTGGCTGCGCACACGAACATATGACAACTTAAAAACACTAACTGCATGAAAGCAGGTCACATGCGGACCAATAATGAGAAAGTATCATGAAACAAGACCTACAATTACCCTAACTCTGGACAACTGAAATCCTACAGGTTCTAAAAAATTTGTAAATCCCCAAAAGCTATTTTTTAAATTAACATGTATTTCATATTTATGCACTTTAGGTGTTTCCAATGAAACGCTTCCTCTCCAAAAAAAGTAAACACTACATACATAGTTATTCTACTTTCAGTTCACCAAAGTAGATTCTTCACTTTTTATTTTATCTATCGAATTAAAGGAACTGCTTCTAAATCTAGGAGTGAGAGGTGAAAAGAGAAAGATGTTCAAACATACAAGCTGAATGAAGGTACGATTTCACTCAGCAGGCACAAATGTATAGAGAATTGGCAGCAAACAAAATAAGGTTTTCATCTGTTTCTCTTTTAAACATCCATCTTTAAAGAAGTGATATTAGTTATCTCTGATGAAGGCAAATGTAGAATAAACATCTGTTTAAAAATTAACTTAGGAAAAAAATTTTTCCAAAAAATATTTCATTTGTAGAATAGCGACTACAGCCTCTCACAGCGAGCTGTGAGCTGCCCCTTCTGCTCCAGCTTCTCTCACTGTGAAAGGGGGACAGTAATGTGACCCTAGAGCGGGTTGGGGTGCGCAGGCTCAGGGGAGGAGAACGAGGAGAGAGGATGCAACCTGTAACAAAGTGAGAAAAAAAAAACTGTCCCAGAAAAGCTCGTTACTGCAGATAACAGAAGCTTAATGATTAAGAGGGATTTTGAAAATTATAATATGAATTATTCACAATAATATTGACATCATCTGCATGTCAGGCATTCATTCATACCTTTCCTTTTTTATAATTTTCAGTAGCGCTAACAGCTTAACCCTTTGTAATTTTTAATGTAGAAAACAGGGCTCATGGTTGAAGTGGAAGAAGAATCAACATAGCAGTAAATGACCAGTTTTAATCATTTCTCTCCTCACTTTCCTTTCTGCTGTCTGTGTGTTCATGAGTAACAACAGGCCAAAAGGCATAACACAGGAAGAATTTAAAAAGTTGCAAAGATAACTCATAAATTCATTTCAAGAATAAATATGAGTTCTGTATAACACATGATATCAAAATGTTAACAATACTGGGGATTTTGACACTACCTTAATTTCATATTCTATTATTAAATAGTTACTCAACTTTAAAGTGCGATAGCCTTTGAGATTATGGGCTGTTGGTTCATCCCTTTTTGACTTTCGTACTTGTACTGTACTTGACTTTTGTACAGTAAAACGCTAATGAAGCATGAGGACCGAAGAGAAAGGCAACTCACACACCCTGGCTGCCTGCCCTACGCCTGGCACGGCACCAGGCGCATCGCTTAGAGGAGACCCTCTTGGTCACTTCCCTGTGAATGTTTTGTTCTTAATTTAGAGGGAGTTTTAAAAGCATGATGCTCTAATACACTAGCCTACGAGTGACTGAAGCAGCAACCCCAGCAAGCAATCAGGGAGTTGGGGTGGGGGACGCTTCTGCTCCTCTCCTACTGTTTCCTCCAACCCGGAGATGGATAAACCAAACATCCCTGCCTGCGCAGTGATTTCCCAGATTGTGAGACTAGCGTGGTCTGGGCAACCCAGAAGCCTGCTCCTTCATTGCCAGAGCAGCCACCGGGAACATACATTCTCCTTCACTTCAATTTTTTTAAGGAATCTCCCCATGGAGGCAAGCTCTGGTCCCAGGGAGAGGAGCGGGTCAGAGAGAACTGTAACTTGGAGGGCACGAGGGCACACAAACAAAGGGGGCAAGAGCCCAGATCCTCCACCTCCCCTCTGCGTCCTCCCGTCGGTCCTTTCCTCTGCCTGGCACAGTCCTCCTCAACCTGTCCACCTGGGCTTCTCTGTCTTACCTCAAACGTCACCTCTTCAGGGAGACATTTACCTGCCCCTAAACTACTGTGTGACCCCTCAATGCTCAATGCTGTCTTATTTACAATTATCTCACTTAACTTCCTGTTTCATTAATGGAGATTGCTACCTACATACCCATCTTGGTAATAAACTCACCATGTCCCCAGGGCTCCAGATAGGTATAGCACTTGGTAGGTGTCTGTCTTAACGAAAATGTTCCTTGCAAGAAAGTGAAATCTACGGAGACCAGGTAAAAATCAGAGCTAACACTTCCTGAGGGCTCGCTATGCACCAAACACTATTCCCCTCACTTTTACATATAGTAATTCACTTAATCCTCAAAATAAAAATATGGGATCGAAACAAATGGTCAGTTGGCCGATAAACCCCTTCCAAAAACCTTGAGGCTAGATCGCATAATCGTATCCATCACTATTTCTGCAGGAAAGCATGTGACTATTCAAACCAAGAGACAGACAAATATACTTCCTATGAGTTCAGATGGGTTAGGTTTTGCTGCCTAACGGTAATGAAAATTTTACTAGTTTTGAAAACATTTTCAATTTCATTTTATGGTGAGAAAACTCAGGCACAGAGCAGATAAGTGACTCACTCAAGATCACACAGCTAGTAAATGACGGCTGTGTAGCCAGACCTGTGCTCTTAACCGCTCCCCAACACTGCCTCACAATTAGTTTGACCTGTTCTGGTGCCAAAAGCAAAACCTAGAAGAGAATCGAACGGCCTCTTCCTACATTCAGATTCGTCTCTAGTCAAGTAATAGCTGGGGGATGCGTGGGGTCACTGTGCACAAGCCAGGCTGCCCAGGCCCCCCACCCCCTCCACAGACGTGGAGCCCATCAGGACCAGGCTGCTCAAAAGACTGTACATGTGCGGAGACAATGCCTGCACCTTTAGCAAAACACTGACTGAGTAATTTTTAGGAAGGCAGGCAAGGCCAGAAATCAGAGCGGGAAGAGGTAAGTTAGTGTCAGTTCTATTTGCAGGGCTATTTTGGATTTCTGGGTGCTTTGGGGTTCGAAGTAAATGGACGGCAGATGAACATTTTGTGAAACACAAAAACAAACGGTCAGCAAGGTGCCCTTTGTGTTGATTTGTGGACTCGAGCGAGGCCAACTGGTAGAATATGGGTGTCCGTTCCCTGGCGTTGTGACTTTTAAAAGCATCCTGTCTGACATTAAGCTCTCCAAGGCAAAAATATAAATGGGAGATTCAGTCAATGAAAGCATTAATAAAATGAAAAGATTTGTCTTTTTCATATGAAATACAGCACATCTGACAGCACAACGCACACAGACAAATTCATATTTTACAAGAACATACAGATGTTGAATGACAAACTACTCCATATGGCGGAGCAGTTGGTCCTGAGTTAAAATAATGGCACGAGGTGAGGGAGGTTTAGAAAGAACATTAACATCACTACATGCTGTACTAACGATGCAGGCGGCAGTTGCAGCTATGGGGTAAAGGCATCTCTGTTGATGTAAAATGAACAGATATGTACAGCGTCTGTGTCAGCCCAGATGGAAAATAACATCAAAATGCATGCAGAGGCAACTACAGTAGATATTACAAAGAAATTGCTATTGAGAGAAGAAATACTTGATAAACAAGGA